CCTCAACTGTAAGGTTATACCTCAGCTGTAAGGTTATACCTCAACTGTAAGATTATATCCCATCTGTAAGGTTATATCTCAATTGTCAGGTTATATCTCAATTGTCAGGTTATACCTTAACTGTAAGGTTATACCTCAACTGTAAGGTTATACCTCAGCTGTAAGGTTATATCTCAATTGTCAGGTTATATCTCAATTGTCAGGTTATACCTTAACTGTAAGGTTATACCTCAACTGTAAGGTTATACCTCAACTGTAAGATTATATCCCATCTGTAAGGTTATATCTCAATTGTCAGGTTATATCTCAATTGTCAGGTTATACCTTAACTGTAAGGTTATACCTCAACTGTAAGGTTATACCTCAGCTGTAAGGTTATATCTCAATTGTCAGGTTATATCTCAATTGTCAGGTTATACCTTAACTGTAAGGTTATACCTCAACTGTAAGGTTATACCTCAACTGTAAGGTTATTTCTCAACTGTAAGGTTATATCTCAACTGTAAGGTTATATCTCAACTGTAAGGTTATACCTCAACTGTAAGGTTATTTCTCAACTGTAAGGTTATATCTCAACTGTAAGGTTATATCTCAACTGTAAGGTTATACCTAAACTGTAAGGTTATACCTTAACTGTAAGGTTATATCTCAACTGTAAGGTTATATCTCAACTGTAAGGTTATATCTCAACTGTAAGGTTATATCTCAAATGTAAGGTTATACCGCGACTGTAAAGTTACACTGCGACTGTAAAGTTACACTGAAACTGTTAAGTTACACCGCAACTGTAAAGTTATACCTCAACTCTAAAATTGTACCCCAGCTGTAAGGTTACACTTCAACAGTAAGGTTATATCTAAACTGTAAAGTTATACCTCAACTGTAAGGTTATACCTCAACTATAAGGTTACACCTCAACTGTAAGGTTATATCTCAACTGTAAAGTTACACCACGACTGTAAAGTTTAATCTCAGCTATAAGGTTATATCTCAACAATAAGGTTATCCCTTAACTGTAAGGTTATACCTCAACTATAAGGTTTTACCATACAGATTTGATAAGGAGAACACACTGGGGGACCCAAGAAATTGTTCTTCTTATAAGAAATTTCTTTTATCCAGGTAAGAGTTCAAGCAAGAAAAATGGCCAGGAATAAACACTTTTTTTTTACAACAGGAATTTACTATATCTGAGATCACCCTAAGTGCTTGCCACTGTAATGGTTACAGAATCCCCTGCAATCTGGCACAGGCAGGAATTGGTGCCATCTCATGCCGATCTTCCATGGTTGCATCTTACAGCCTGGTAAGTTACAATGTTATTATTCTGTGCTTTCTTTATGGTAGATCACACAAATACACACACACACTCACAACTCACACACACAGATGCACACATTCACACAGAACAGAAAAGGACTCTTTTTACACCAGCGGCGCAACGGGCATATCATGCTAGAATTATAAATATAGACTAATCAGCACTCAATAGATGATGTGGTCAACAACATACTGGCCACTTTCACTTCCCATGAAATTTCCCCCATTTTTGGGCTGTGTAGACCAGGGAACCAAGGTCAGTTACTTACAAAATCTGTCCCACTGTTGATTGGAACCTAAGACCTTCAGGATGATAGGCATGTGTCTAGTCCTTATTGATTCGTGATAAACCACTGGTGGTTTTCAACATAAAATGGGTATAACAACACTGCCACAATGACGTAAATAACCGATAAAGTTGGCCTTACAAACAGGAGACATTTCAACTATAAAGTTTTCTTCAACAAACAAAAATAAATTAGTAAGTGTAGTTATATATGGATTTCATAATCAGGTTGTTTCACAATCTACGTCACTGCACTTTAAGCATTCCCATGCGTACTCAAGTCTTCCGATGCAGCAGCCAGTCCAAGGTACCTCTACTCAATGTTCCCATAAGGAGTCGGTTATAATGTTTCCAACTCAGCTTTGAAGGTGGCATAGTCATGCTTCACCATGCATTATTCCCAGATCACTTAATCGTGTTAAGAGTCTGAGATGTTAGATTATGTAGCCATCATTACTTCTCACCAGGTTTATAGGTCTTCTAAAATTATTCTACTGATGTTTCTGTCTAAGACCATCTAGCATCCTTTCTCCTTGTCTGCCTATACCTCTTTTACAGCTGATATTTCCAGTTGTTACTATGTTCAACATCTCTCCTTTCACCTCAAAGCCACATAAGACTCTTTCTTGTCGTTTTTGTGAAATGTTATTCCTTTTGTTTAAAGTGTATTCCAGGCAATCACTGTTAGTTACTCTTTCAGTCAAAGGTATCTGGGATTATGCTGCATTGGCAACACATAATTTCTACAATACTGCCCTACCATTGTGCTATGGAGACACAGAATTTCCTGATGGGCTGTGATTCTTATGCTTTCTTACTGCACAATAACACAATCGTCTGTAAAGGTGTAAACATCAAACAAAGGTATTTGCAACTCATTTCAGAAATCACGTCTCCTCTGGCTCCATTCTCTTTCAGTTTGCTCATTCACATCTGAAGATCCCCCGTGTGGGTTCTGGGGCCCCATTGTGGGGAAAACAAGAATAGACCCACTGCCTCCCCAAAAGCATGTCCCAAGAGTCGACTAATTGGGGAGCTTCCTTTGAAGTCAGAGTGCATCTGCCACAGAGGCAAGGAACCAACAGTCTGTATTCAAGAGAATGAGATCTGAAAAACTGATGCACACGCAACACTCAGGTTCTGGAGCAGGACTGCAGTTCAGTAGTGGACGAGCAACCAGAACCTTCCACCAGAGTTTACAGCTGTTGAAAGCGAAGAAGAAGAAGAAGACATATGAAGATTTACTGCCATCTGAACATTATTAATTTCTGACATTTCAGCACTCTCGTTCTAACATTTAAAGTGGCTTTATATTTATATTGGGAGTCGCAGCAGCCTGGTGGCTAGATACTCGCAGGCTGGCCCAAAGGCCTTGGGTTCAAATCCATGTCTGGACAGATTCTTCCAGTTTTCCAAATTGACCTTGGCTCCCAGGTTAAATCAGCCTAAAGTGGATACCAGGTAATATGCAGGGGAAATAAAAGCAGTTGGCGTGACCCTGACCTGTCATCGATCGAGAGACGACTGGTCTATAAAAATATGAGTCTAGCACCATTTGCCTGACGTGTCCTTTAATGTTAATTTTATTTATATTTCTTAATACAGATTGATATGAATATGTTTAAATAAACATACAAGATGTGCAACTGCTGTTAATATATGGGTGACCAAGTGGTTTCTCTTTCATTCATATGGATAAAATGTTACGTTAATCAATTTTATTTCCAGTAAAACACATGTGATCTCAGCTACAAAACTTGCTACTTATTAAAAACATGCAAAGTTAATGCCATGGTGTGTGTTGCTGTAAAGACACACTTAGGAATACAAATTAGTTGGTTGTTAAGGTTCTGGAAGACCGCTTTTCTTCTTTCTTTTTTTTTTTCTAGTACTATTCAAATATAGCTGACTCAAAACAAGCCAGAAAAAAAAATTAGTAACCAAGGAAATGAGATTCTGATAAAGGCTTCAGGATTCCAGAAGAGATAAAGTCAGGAATGAAGCCCTAAAAGAAAAAGTAAGCATAGAACTGGTTCTAAATTACATACAAAAACATCAAACAAAATGGTTTGCCAACTTATAGAGAATGTTTTGAGCCACATACAAGGCATACACCAAAAAAGGAGAGTGACAGGGTGTAAAAGATAGACCAAGAACAAGATGGAAAGATAACATCTGAGAAACTCTACAACAACATGATGTGTCTATGGCTGTGGCAGCCAGAAGAGCAAGAAGCAGAACCTTAAAACTTCCTGTGCACCTAAAGCGATCAAAGAGGCAGTGAAGAAGAAAATATTTTCAGCTCTCAGTTTATCTAATACAGCGGTTCTCAACCTGTGGGTCATGACCCCTTTAGGGGTCAAATGTCCCTTTCACAGGGGTCACCTAAAACCATCGAAACACACATATTCACTGAAGTTATGAAAGAAATAATTTTATGGTGGGGGGGGGGGGGGGGGGGGCAGGGGCACTATAACAGGAGGAATTGTATTAATGAGTCATGACATTAAGAAGGTTGAGAACCACTGGTCAAGGACATCTTAGAATGTCACCGATTGATTATCTGGCACACACATAGAGACTGACTGAGATTAGGCCTAGACTGATCATGCTTCTCACCAAGTGTTAGGTACTTCATTGTCAACAACTCCATTTCAATGCCCAGAAAGAATGATTGTTTAGAAAAGTGCTTGTTTTATTTTAAAAATGTTCCAGTTTAGAAATTACTCTTATTAATGTAATTTCTAAACTGGGGTACATTTCAAAGAAAAGCATATTCCAACATTGTACTTTTTTTATAGTCTTATATAAAACAAGTGAGAAAAATCTCCAATACATCAAATATTTCTTAATTCAAGAAAGATAATGGCAGATCGGAAACAGAAATCCTGAAAAACTTAAAGCGACCCAATTTATTTTCGTATTTTACATTAAATTTTTCAAAATATTCTAACAAACAAAACTTATTATTTAGGCCGATGTCATTAATAAGTTCTCGGCAAGCCTACATGACGCAGAAATATGAACTGAACAAACTGTTGTGAAAAAGAATTAATTGTTTTGAAATGTGGATATTTGAAATGAATCAGGAAGACATTATAGAAAAACAAAATTAAAAAGAGGAGCATAAACTAGTGATGATTACTAAATGAGATCAGGGTTAGAGAAATAAAATATTTTTGGGAATTGAAAATACAAAATGTCGCTGTTTGTTCAACTAGAGAATGCACAAGATGGAATAGTATGGTGTACCAACATGGCAAGAGACACACAACTGAGATCTAATACATATATTCTTTAATGTGGAGATGGCAACTGATCTTATATCCAATATTTGTGTATAAAAAAAAACATGCATTTACATTTTAAAAAATGACCACTGTACAGCTTAAAACTAATATTCTTGCACAAATTTAGCATTATTCTTGTCTCTGCCATCTCTTATGCTTGGATCACTTTTTACAGCACCAGCATTCACTGTTCTATGTACGTGTGTTTCTGCAACCCCACGTTCGTCTACACTGCTCAATGCAACATCCGGTTTCTGAGCTGCTTTACTCTGCTGTATTTCTGTCACAGTCTCTGCTACGGGACCTCCAATAAAAACGCTATCATTACTTGTTCTACCGATGTCCGACTGGTAAATATTGTCATTAAGTGTCTGTGTGTCAGTTACTGTATTCCTGAGACTTTCAATTTCTTGTACCTCTGGCTGACCAGAAGAAGCCAGAGCTGGATCATACATTTTGTGTCGCTGATGCAGCAGTGCAGAATTTTCCTTTACTTTCTCCTGCTCCTTAACAAGACCAGTGTCATCAGTTTCATCATCATCATCCTCGTCATCATACTCAGAATACGACCGATGATGGATAAGATCTGTGTCGATGTCAATAATGAGTCGAGTCTGCGCACTTGATCGTCGTCGTTTACCTCGGGTTGTCTCTGAAGAGACACTAAGTGACGACAGGAGACTGGCTTTAGAGCCGGCCTTCACTAGTGTGTCTTCCATCTGCATGTTCTTGGTTTCACTAAGAGACAGCACTGCAGCCACACACAGCAGACATGTTCCAAATATCACTGAATACGAGACAGTTGGGATTGTGTCCTGGGAAGTAGAAACATTCACAAGTCAGTTATTTTTATTTGGTTGTAGGAGTGTCATATTTTTAGTCGTTGTGACTGTTAAACCTTTGATTGTGTGACTGTTCTACTTTTAGGTTTATGACTCTCGCACTTTTAGTTAAATGACTCAAACTTTTGACTGTATGATTTCTATACTTTTGGTTGTATGAATGTCATACATGTGGTTGTATGCTTGTTATACTTTTGGTTGTATGACTGTTACTCTTTTGGCTGTATGATTTTATACTTTTGGTTGTATGATTGTTATACTTTTGGTTGTATGATTGTTATACTTTTGGTTGTAATGTAATGAAATATAGGCAGAAAGGGGTTAAATGAACAAGCATACATTTCAGACCACCACACGGCGTACTAATCCATCACTGTGTGAAATGACAGAATGGGTGATTAGAAAGCCATGGCCTAGCCAGCTATCCAGAACACACCGCCCTGACATCTGACAGTGAGGGATGAAACATTCGACGAGTACCCGTGAGCTGTGACCAACTGACGAGATACGTTCATCCAAACGTGACCACCAAGGACAGGTGACAGGGAAGTGATTAAGATGGTACGCCAGGAGGAGCGGGAAAGCGGTGGAATAAAGTCAGAGCCAGGGGCTTGAGAAGTTAGTTAGTCCCGGAACCGCTGGAGAGGACGGTTAGCCCCGGAACCGCCATGAGAAGACAGTTAGGGCTAGACCGATAGAGAAACCGGTTAGGAGAAAACTAGTGCTGTACTTCGTTAGAAGGTATATGTTAAACTTGGAGTTTAGCTAGAACAGTGAGTTAGCCCCGGAACCGCTTGAGAGGACAGTTAGGGCTAGACTGCTAGAGAAACCGGTTAGGAGAAAACTAGTGCTTTACTTCGTTTAGAAGGTATATGTTAAACTTGGAGTTTAGCCAGAACAGTGGTTAAGGAACTCGTAGAGGCATACGAATAGCCAGTAATAAGGAGTGTTCATATACTATTGCTCATTGAATTTATGAAATGTGTGTGACGAGAATATTATGAATAAACCAGCTCTTATGTAATTGATATATCACTGGCCTTGTTCTTGAGTACGATTGAAGAGAGCTACGAACTATATTCATTCCACTTGGCCGACTTAGGCACATCTATTTCTTGGGGGATGTATACAGACGCCCCGTTTACAAGTATGTGGATATTTGGATGCCGTGACCAACGATCAGTCTTGTGTACTCGACATCTTTAAAAACAAGACTGCTGTTACAACATAACAAATAAGCAACTGCTATAAAAAGGTGAACTAAAAGCAAGTTTATGATTGTGCCTGCTGAGTAAGAAAAGTCGAGAAAAACCGTCATCAGAATAGAGAGACGTAAACCAGACCAACAGCCTGCACCACCTTTTGGAGCCAACCGTCTACACTAGAATCAGGGGGACACGCCCGTTTTAGCCTGGAGTAAACCGTCTACACTAGAATCAGGGGGACACGCCCGTTCTAGTCGGGAGCCATAATATAAACTTTTCCTAACTTTACACACTCGGAAGACTATAGGAAAGTCAAGAACTGTGAGCTGTCCGATTTTTCAAATAGGAACTGCAAAATAAGCGCGAATTTAAAGAACCTTGAACATTAATATTAATTAGTTTAAATATATTGTGATTTTTAATTTACAGTGGTGTAGGGAAAAACTTTTCTTATCTTTTCCTACCTTTCTTCCTGAACGTAGAAAATAATTAGAAAATAATTCCAGGACAGTGCCGATTTTTAATTACAGTGTGTTGTGAAACGAGAATTTTTTTTTTCAGACCGCACTTAACAAGGTAATACGACATTTTCTGTTTTAAATTCTATTTTAGTTTACATTAGTTAATTTTCCAGGTTTTAATAATGGCATATCAAGGAACAGTGAGAGCACAGTTTAGCAGAGTTTTTAATGAAATAGCACAGTTAGGTAGAAAACTCCGTATTCCATTTTTTATGGAACAAATAACTGATCAGCATTGGTCAACTGTAGATAGTCGTAGACAAAGACAGAGAGAAAGAAGTTATAATATAGCATCAGTCACTAGAAGTAACGTCACTGCTAATCGACTGTCCAGTTTCCCAGACAGGCGAAATTATGCTAACGAGAGATTGCAATACCCTAGAGATAATCAGTACCGCAGACCAGACAATACAAAAGCATACGAGAAAAATCTGGGTCAAGCGAGGTCACAAATACTGAACGAAAGAATCAAAAATAGTGATTTTAATAGAGCCGACAGGTTACGAACGTTAGCAAATAATAGAAATAGCAGAGCACAGGAGCAGTGGCATAATTATGGCAACAGTTATCAGAACATTAATAGAGTAGGAAATATCCATGATAATAACCGAGGTCGAGTTAGGTCATGTAATCCAGATACCAGATTTCGCATGATGAGCACTAATCAAGATTACAGAGCCCACGTTACGACCCAAAATCAAGCCAACAAATTCAAAAGAGACAGGTTAAGAAAATTAGGCTACAATAAGAATATAAGATTGCAAAATTTAGGAAATAATCGCGAGGTCAGTAACTATAACGGATTATGGCAGACAGGTAATAAAAGCACGTGCGCTGCTGATGATGAGACAAACAAATTAGAAGTAAGAGGGTTAAAAGAGAGGAATCCCATGAAACAGTTTAATAAAAGCTACATTAACGAAGTAAACGCGGTAACTGTAAACGGGACACACGGTCAATATTTTACAGAAGAAGGGAACATAGAAACACGTAAGAAGTTAATAACGACTAAAGTTAAGTCGGAACAAGAAGAAGATAAAGAGGCTTGTTTGGCAATGGAATGGTTATGGGAAGTAAACACGGTAGATGTAAAAAGGCTAGATAGCAATACCACACATAGGAAAGTAGAGAGGGTAGGGACAATTAAAGAAAGAAATCAGCAGGATTTGTCTTATACACAGGTAATGCCTACAGAAGAAGAAGGTGAAGGAATAAATACATTACCGTTTGTAGTTAGTAACATAAAGGTAGATCTATTTTCAGAAAACTACGACGCAGATAGTGAAATTGGGATCACAAACAAAACGGGTCGTAGAATTTTAGTCGCGGTTAGAACCAGGACTAATACTCCGTCTAGTGTGAAAGAATTAAAACCGTCAGAAGTACCAGTTAACGGTAAATTTGATCGTAGAAGAGAAGAAGAAGAAACAGTAGAAACTTCGCCTTACAAAAGAAAGAAACATAAGACAAGAATTTCTGAAATTAATTCACATACAGATCTAAAAGAGAATATAGTTTTACAGATACAGAGGGACGTAGGGAAAGACAAACTAACAAAAGAAGGAAGAGTTTGTAGAAGCAAAGGTGGTAATCTTGAACCTGAACCGGTAGAAATCGACAGAAGCTGTAGGACTGACGAGACACAAATGACAGATATTATAACTGAACCAGTAGAAGATAACCAATTCTTTAATGTCTTTCATTTTATATCGAGTCTAATGGGCATAAAGGCTAACAAATAGCGAACAGAATTCAGCAGGGGGCATGATTTTCTACACGCGGGATTAATTACAAAGCGGCAAATTGGTATGCCGAGTTTGTTAGGGGAACAATACTTTAGTAGATATTATACATCGTATATGAACTCTATATTGATGAGTAGGGGGGTTTCCCGCCAATACATCGCCATCCTTTTCTTCCCCCATGACTGACTGAAATGGGATCGTTCGTAAAATGGTTCAATAAATGTGGGATTGTAGGGTGTATAACAAGTAATTAGTTTTATTAATTACAATTTATGTACGCTATATTGCTGTGTACAGAGGTACCGCGCTCGCTACACATATTCTGTTGTTGTGTCTACATGTCATTTGTCCGACAAGATTAAATATATACCGTTGTTTTGTCCTTACCATTTAATATTTACATTTGGTTCTGCACTATGAACGTTTTTTTTATCGTGTTGTACTCTCCCGGACAAGTGAAAATCCACACGTTCGGTAGTGGGTGAAGATTACAATACCTACATGTTTTATGTTCGCTAAGAGAGTTACTGGCCACAAAACCTCTCTTATACATTCTGTCAGAATGATGACTGATTTGAGTTTAACCAGACTTTACTGAGGTACACAGTTAGAAACGTACTTGGCGATAAGCCAGTCCAAAGCATGACATGATTGGTAACTGAATATAGGCCGGCTATTTCTTTACAGAAGATGCGATATGCATTAAACAGAGGAAGCAACCTCTTAGGGAAGCAACAATAAACGCTGTGGACTATCACAGTAGATAAATGCCTGTAAATACAGGTGGTGGCACTGTACATTCGACTTGAGGAAAGGCTACTATTGTTTCCGAGAAATTTCTCTCCAATTAATATACCTAACGGTATAAGAATTATTTATACTCTGTAAAGGTTATACCTTATTATTCAGTCTATGTTGACTTTCTCAGAGATTCTATTTTCATCATTTCTTGGGGAGATGACATTTTCGAGTTTTACTTTATTGATAACTGGGGATACATGGCATGTTATTTCTTGTCTACAAAGTTTTCAGGTTTGAGTTTATAAAGTGGGAATACAGATACTATTCCTTTATACTTCAGACAACTCCGCACATTCATTAGGGATACCAGTGCATAATAGGTTGTTATGCTAATACAACGAGGGAGTTGCATCGTTTTTTTTTATGTCTTTAGAATTATTGACTATTAGTTATTGTATGCATGTCACGTTTTCATTATACTGCATGAATTTTATGATGTTACATGTTATGTTGTATGCTTCCATTACGTGGCAAGATGTTCACATAAGGTTTAGTTAGGTAGCGGGTATAATTAGAGTAGTTTTCATAAAATCGACGATAGGAAACAATTTTGTTAAAAAGTGTGTAGGGCGAATGTAATGAAATATAGGCAGAAAGGGGTTAAATGAACAAGCATACATTTCAGACCACCACACGGCGTACTAATCCATCACTGTGTGAAATGACAGAAATAGGTGATTAGAAAGCCATGGCCTAGCCAGCTATGCAGAACACACCGCCATGACATCTGACAGTGAGGGATGAAACATTCGACGAGTACCCGTGAGCTGTGACCAACTGACGAGATACGTTCATCCAAACGTGACCACCAAGGACAGGTGACAGGGAAGTGATTAAGATGGTACGCCAGGAGGAGCGGGAAAGCGGTGGAATAAAGTCAGAGCCAGGGGCTTGAGAAGTTAGTTAGTCCCGGAACCGCTGGAGAGGACGGTTAGCCCCGGAACCGCCATGAGAAGACAGTTAGGGCTAGACCGATAGAGAAACCGGTTAGGAGAAAACTAGTGCTGTACTTCGTTAGAAGGTATATGTTAAACTTGGAGTTTAGCTAGAACAGTGAGTTAGCCCCGGAACCGCTTGAGAGGACAGTTAGGGCTAGACCGCTAGAGAAACCGGTTAGGAGAAAACTAGTGCTTTACTTCGTTTAGAAGGTATATGTTAAACTTGGAGTTTAGCCAGAACAGTGGTTAAGGAACTCGTAGAGGCATACGAATAGCCAGTAATAAGGAGTGTTCATATACTATTGCTCATTGAATTTATGAAATGTGTGTGACGAGAATATTATGAATAAACCAGCTCTTATGTAATTGATATATCACTGGCCTTGTTCTTGAGTACGATTGAAGAGAGCTACGAACTATATTCATTCCACTTGGCCGACTTAGGCACATCTATTTCTTGGGGGATGTATAGGCACGACTGTGCCACAAGTATGACTGTTATGTTTTTGTTGTATGATTGTCATTTTTTTAGCTGATTGTCATTCTTTTGGAGGTATGGTTATTATACTTTTTGTTGCATGCTTGTTATACTTTTGGTTGTATGATTGTTATTCTTTTGGCTGTATGATTGTTACACTTTTACTGTTAAACTTTTGGTTGTATGAATGTTAAACTTTTAGCTGTATGATTGTTAAACTTGTGGTTGTACGATTGTCATACCTTTGGTTGTATTATTATTTTTAAACTCTTGATTGTATGACTGGTACACTTTTGGTTGTATGACTTCAATATTTGATTGTATGCTTGTCATACTTTTGGTTGTATGACTGTTATTCTTTTATGTGCAGGGCTGTTATTATCACTACATGCATTTTGATACCACACAAAGACACATAGGACCTGCTAAATGATGATGTAGTTTACTTTTGCATGTGTATAACACTGCAAGCTCCAGATATAAGGCTGTACAGCTCAAACGGGAATTCCCGTTTTTGTGAGGCTGGCATGGCCAGTCGGTGGTAACAATTGTTATCGAGTAGATTCATACCCAAATTGACCTACAGTTTAATTAATTTACAACCTGTGTTACTAAATGAAATATCATTTTGAAGATAAATATTTTCTAATAGCCCATTTATTTATTTTCAAAATAATAATTCATTCAATAATACAGGTTGTAAATTACTTAAACTGTAGGTCAATTTGGGTATAAATCTACTTGATAACAATTGTTACCACCGACTGGCCATGCCAGCCTCACAAAAATGGGAATTCCTGTTTGAGCTGTACAGCCTTATATCTGGAGCTAGCAGTGGTGTATAAGCATGTGACATTTTTTTTTTCTGATTGAGTGAACCATTTCTGTGAGAGGGAGACACCCTCATGTAGTGGCTAGACACTTGCCCGCATGGTTTCAAATCCAAATAGTGCCTAACTTTAAAAAAAAAAATGTTAAAACTGACCTTGGCTCCCAAATTGACCCTGCCTTGCGTGGGCACCAGGTAAGGTCCTAGAAAATAAAGGGGGCTGGCATAATACTGACCACATCTCCCATTTAGTGATGATTGATCTATAAAATATAGGTCCAGCACTATATGCCCAATATGCCAGCAGGTGTGGAAAAGTGCCCTTTTATATTTATGAGAAATCAACAAATTATCTAAGAATTCTACAAGTCTAAAAAAAAAAAATTAGCAATTCTACAACAAATCAACAAACTATGAGAATGATTCTACAAGTCAACAAACTATGACAGTGATTCTATAACAAATCAACTTAAGTATGACAATGATTCTACAAAAATCAGCAAACTATGACAATGATTCTACAACAAATCAACTAAACTATGACAATGATTCTACAAAAAATCAACAAACTATGAAAATGATTCTACAACAAATTAATAAAACTATGACAATGATTCTACAACAAATCAACAAAACTATGAAAATTATTCTACAACAAATCAACAAAACTATGAAAATGATTCTTCAACAAATGAACAAAACTATGAAAATGATTCTACAACAAATAAGCAAAGTATTACAATGATTTAACAACAAATCAACAAAACTATGACAATGATTCCATAACAAAGCAACAAAACTATAATAATTATTCTACAACAAATCAACAAACTATGACAATGATTCTACAACAAATCAACAAAACCATAACAATGATTCTACAACAAATCAACAAAACTATGACAATGTTTCTACAACAAATCAACAAAACTATAAAAATGATTCTACAAAAAATCAACAAACTATGACAATGATTCTACAACAAATCAACAAAACTAAAACAATGATTCTACAACACATCAACAAACTATGACAATGATTCTACAACAAATCAGCAAACTATGACAATCATTATACAACAAACTATGACAATGATTCTACAACAAATCAACAAACTATGACAATGATTCTACAATAAATCAACAAACTATGACAATGATTCTACAACAAATCAACAAAACTATGATAATGATTCTACAACAAATCAGAAAAGTATTACAATGATTCTACAAGAGATCTACCAAACTGCCCCTCTGTCTATAGAAGCAAGTGACATCAGGAGCAAGAACAATGATCAAAACTACTTACCATGTTGATGAGAAAGGGAGCTAATACTCCACCGATTTTGGCCGCTGTGTTGGCAGCCCCATATCCCAGAGTTCTGGAGAAAATTTAATTTAGTGCTTTCAATGATAAAGATTATTTTTTTAAAAGCTATCCTCTGTTACGTACCTCATAAACATGTGAATCACATTAATTCTAGAAAGCAAGAACTATAAAATATTATTCGGCTAGAAGTTTGAAACAAAAAGTTAAGCATTAAAAGAAAACCCCCCCAAAAAAACGGTTTGGGTACGGATTTTGTATTTTTTTGAAATTTTTTGCCAGACAGTCTCTATGGTGAAGTGTTTAAACCTGTGTTCTTCAACCGGTAGGCCATGGAAAACTCTATGTTTGCCACCAAAATCTTCTGCCTTATCATGTACCAGGATTCCCCATATGAGTTCTGGGGTCCCATTGTGAACAAAACAAGCCAATCGAGCCACCCTATACATGCTCTGTTCCTTTGCCAGTAAAAATCAATTGAAATGTCCCTCACTGACCACTTAAACAACTAATGAACAAACAATTAGTCCTGGCACAATCCAGAAATAGGTGCAGACAGTAAATGCATCAGGAAGTTGCTAGAAGTGCCAAAAGTCTACAGTTACCACCAGAAATGCAGTTTGTCATTGACAAAAGTAGTCAGTCACAATAAGATGGAAAAGTGCCAACACTAACACTTATTTCTGTGACAACACAATGACTAGGCACATGTTTGCCAACCATGTTTTTGATCCATGCAGTATTTTTTTTTTTTTTTTTTGCAGTCTCAACAAGGCAGTTGTTAACTGATAATTTTTATTTCTTTTACAATAATCTCCACAAAAATTCTAATAATAATCAATAATACTCTTAATAGTTTTAAAAATACATAAATGAATAATATAATAATAGTTTTCACAAGATGCTAATGTGAAAAATAATAATTCACAACACACTAATGTGAATAATAATAATAGTAGTAGTTTGCAAAACAAGCTAACAGCAAAATAATAATAATTTTAAATTGCACTAACAAAAGTAAAGTAAAACACACTAATGAGAAATAAAAAGTGGTTTTTCAAAACACAGTTACCTGATCACAGTTGGATAGACTTCGGTTGAAACAACAATGAAGACAGCAGCAGCCGCTGACACAAATGATCGACAACAAATACACATCACTGTTATGGCGGTTTCTCTGTAAGGCATGCTGGGTGTCACTGTTGAGTCAGAAAATGTTTAGCTTCCAGTTTTGTGTAGTTATATATTGTGTTTGGAGCATTCTATTGCTACATCATCATCTATTGTATGATGATAAAGACTCACTAAAGATACATTTCTTACTGTCACAGGGAAAACAGGTTCAAGTGTCCCACTGTGCGAGTCTTTGCCTTATTTGTCTTTTAACTTTGTTCAGCATATACACCAAAGAAATCTTGCCACCTCAGTAGCAAACTCTATTTTCCTTCAACATGTGTTATAGGCAGTAATTTGCTTTCATGGTGTTATTAATGTTCCTAATGTCCCTCTGGGACTAAAATATTTTAAATATTTATAAATAAAATGCGATACAAGGGAAATTATCAGAGGAAAAAGCTCAATTTTATCCCACCAAAATAAACATATTTATTTCCTATTTCTCATAGTACATTTTTTTTAAAATTAACAACTGTCTTTCAGAAAATGAACTGGTTCACTAAAATAAAAATAAAAAGTATGTTGCAATTGTAAGAGGTGGCTAGTAATGTAAAATGGACATGTTGTAAATCACTCTGAAACTAAATGCTTTATCATGAACACATTGAATACCACATTGAATATAACCAAACCCACATCCTCTTTAAACAGTTTTAAAAAGGGAATGATGTACTGCTACATAGTTTGAAAATGAGAATGATGTGTCACTAAAAAAATTGAAAATGATAAAGATTGGTTGTTAAACAATTTGAAAATGATAAAGATTGGTTGTTAAACAATTTGAAAATGGTAAAGATTGGTTGTTAAACAATTTGAAAATGAAAATAATGTATTGTTAAACAATTACAATCTGAGAACTATGTGTTGTTAAAAACTCCAAAATGAGAATGATGTGTTATTAAACAATCTAAAAATAAAAATGATATGTCATTAAACAATTTGAGCCACCCACCCACCCACCCACCCACCAACCCACACACACCCCCCACACACACACACACACACACACACACGCCGCACACACACAAAATGCAATATGCAGGCCACTTGTCGGGTTAGAATCCATATCCTGTCCAATATTTTTTTTTAAACTGACCTTAGCTTCCAGGTCGACCCAGTCTAAAAACAGATATGAGGTAATATCCTGGAAAGTGAAGGCAGCCAGCGAGATTCTGATTATCTTTGCCACCTAATGCCGATTTTTCTATAAAAATATCAGTCTGGCACCACGTGCCTGAAGCACCACTGGCGTAGAAGTAGCGTGTACTAACTCTGAAGAACACTTTGTGATGTGAGGTTTTTTTGTTCAACTACAAGATCTCCTAGACCTATAACTGAGTTCCGTTCTGACTATGAGGTCATAAGTTGAACTGGTCATAAGTTGAACTGGTCATAAGTTGAACTGGTCATAAGTTGAACTGGTCATAAGTTGAACTGGTCATAAGTTGAACTAGTCATAAGTTGAACTGGTCATAAGTTGAACTGGTCATAAGTTGAACTGGTCATAAGTTGAACTGGTCATAAGTTGAAGTTATATTTTTTTAACACTATTTTCCTTTGAATGATGTGATAAAACTTGTACAAAAAACAAAAATGCAATCTGTGCACGTATAATTATTGTGAAAATAAAAAATAATATTTATTCATCTGCATCAGTTCCAGAAATTATTTGCCCCAACCTAAGTAGTTATCTTTCTTTAGTTACTGTTTTAATTTATAAAATTGTGTGTGTTTGTAAGTCAGATGGTCATAAGTCATAAAGGTCATAAGTCATTTAGGTCATAAGTCATATAGGCCGTTAGTAATTTAGGTCATAAGTCATATAGGTCATAAGTCATTTAGGTCGTAAGTCATATAGGTCGTAAGTCATACAGTTTATAAGTCGTATAAATCGTAAGTTGTATAGGTCATAAGTTGTATGTCATAAGTCATATAGGTCGTAAGTCGAGGAGAAGGTATACAAAATAAACACTTACAGTGGAATATAAGGGCGGCGAGTGCAGTAAGTGTACACAGAATAAAGTAAACCAGCGCTGTGATTCTTCTACCGATGCTGGGAAAAAAAGATACGCATTTTTTTAAATAGCAGTAAAAATATACCAAGCAAGATAATGTATTAAATTTTATTTTAAAAAGTCCCACAAGAACTACATCAGCCATGTACTCAGAAGGGATAAAACCGGACTTCCCCCATCAAGCCCTCAAATGGACACCAGAAGGGATAAAACCAGACTTCCCCCATCAAGCCCTCAAATGGACACCAGAAGGGAACAGAAAACAGTGAAGACCAAGAGGGACTCGGCAAAGAGTCATCATCAGGGAAGGCTCAAGCATGGGCCTGATATACATTCAAGACCTAAAACAGGTAACCTGACATGGAGAGCTATGACCTCTGCCCTCTGCACCCCACTAGTCTCAAGAGGAAAGACTAACTAACTAACTAAAAATGTACTGAGTTAAGATCTTAGAATGAGCATCACATTTCCATACCCTGATGCAAATGGTGCTAGTCCATATTTTTTGTAGACTATTAGGCACTTAATCGGAAATGTGGCACATATCAACCCAACTGGTAATTTTTCGACTCCCGATTTTAGGCTGGGGAGACCTGGGAGTCCATTTCTGATATGATTCCTAGTTACGCTACTCATGATGGGCTGATAACAAACACCTCCTCATCTACAATGAAAGCATCTACCCTTGACTGACCTCTGGGCAAATGATTCAGACTTTATTGAGAGATCTGTCAAACAAGCATAAAATCAAGAGACCTGAGACTGCGTATAAGATCAGTGAAGTGCTCTTAAAAGCTGGGAGTTTAGAGTTGTTATGCCAAACCTCAGTTGCGAGTTTAGCATTGTTACGCCACACCTCAACTGTAAGTTTAGCATTGTTACGCCACACCTCAACTGTAAGTTTAGCATTGTTACGCCACACCTCAACTGTAAGTTTAGCATTGTTACGCCACACCTCAACTGTAAGTTTAGCATTGTTACGCCACACCTCAACTGTAAGTTTAGCATTGTTACGCCACACCTCAACTGTAAGTTTAGCATTGTTACGCCACACCTCAACTGTAAGTTTAGCATTGTTACGCCACACCTCAACTGTAAGTTTAGCATTGTTACGCCACACCTCAACTGTAAGTTTAGAGTTGTTATGCTACACCTCAGTTGTGAGTTCAGAGTTGTTACACCAAACCTCACTTGTGAGTTCAGAGTTGTTACACCAAACCTCACTTGTGAGTTCAGAGTTGTTACACCAAACCTCACTTGTGAGTTCAGAGATGTTACACCAAACCTCACTTGTGAGTTCAGAATTCTTACACCAAACCTCAGTTGTGAGTTCAGAGTTGCTACACCAAAGCTCCCTTGTGAGTTCAGAGTTGTTACACCAAACCTCAGTTGTGAGTTCAGAGTTGTTACACCAAACCTCAGTTGTGAGTTCAGAGTTGTTTCACCAAACCTTAGTTGTGAGTTCAGAGTTGTCACACTAAATCTCAGTTGTGAGTTCAGAATTTTAACACCAAACCTCAGTTGTGAGTTCAGAGTTGTTACACCAAACCTCAGTTGTGAGTTCAGAGTTGTTACACCAAACCTCAGTAATGAGTTTAGAGTTTTTTTTACACCAAACTGGACTAGTGCTAAACAATGCCAAGAGACTATAGATAAAATACTTCAAACTTTTTATTTAAACATGGCTGACTGCAGTCAAACTAGTATTTAAAAAAACATAAACTGTGATTAAAAACAACTCAAATTTAAAAAAAATTAAATAATAATAAAGTAACAAAAATAGTAACAATAATATAATAAAATAATAATACTAGTGATCAAACATCTATCAAGACTAGCACAGGACATTGCAGCATGGACATCTCTGACAGTGTGACATAAAAGTAGACCAGAGGTACCCCCACACAAGTGATGGAAAGATGGAATATCTGAGGCAGTGGAGGCAGAACATAGTGCAGTGAAAAGAAGACGAAGGACTGTGACAGTATTGTACACTATAGCAGCTAATAAGCGATGACTGAGGCTGTATTAACATCTAACCAGTGACATCGATAGTCGGCTTTGACAGCGTCATAATGACTAGACAGTTGCCTGTTAACCTGAAAGTCTTAGGTTATTTAGAGTCCGAACTGAGGCAGACTTGTTTAAATAAATCTTAATTCTCTCTGTCCAAAGAAATGCACCACATATGATCAGACATTGTGTACATCATGCATCAAATGGTGTGTAATTATTTCATTTATTCGCTCATCTGGTCTGAACATTCTAAAGAAATCTGGCCTAATTTTTAATACACGGAAAATCATATGTTGCTAGTTTGAAAGTTATAAACTGATTCTATATCACTGTGGTTATTGTTTCATTTGGGTTGTCTTTTTGAAAAACCAAGAACTGAAAGAGTTAATCAACCCAACCCAAAATGGATATCAGGAAATGTCCTGGAAAGTAAAAGTGGCTCATATGATGTTAAATATATTGTTTATCAAATGATGAGTGATCTATAAAAAATATGGGTCTAGCATCATATGCTAAAGACATTATTACTACATTAGAAATAGACATCAGTTGAGCTGTTACATTAGAACTAATATCAACAGCATGTGAATGTGGTAACAGCATGAGATTGTGTGTGAATAATATTACCTAACTCCTGGCCACAGCTGGCTCAATATACTGTTTGCACATGTTCCCACTTACTTGAAGGCTTAGTCTTCAGTATCAGTATTATTAAAATGTATTTGTGTTATGTCATATTCAGCTGTGATTAGGAGTACACCCTAGTTGATTTTACTGTTCAATTTTTTTTTTTTTTTTAATGAAGATTTGACAAATGACAACAGGGCCAGGAGACAATTTTGCGATTCATTGTGCTAATGTACCACCTTTGATTTATAAACAGGCATCCATTTGAAAACTAAGCAGAGTTTGGAGGCAACTGAGATGTAGTTTTTGAGAAGAATTTTGTGGATATTTTGGACTGCCTGAATAACTAACAATAATTGCTTGGAAATGGCTAAAGAAAGTAGAGCATTATATACAAAAAAGAGAAGGAGACAAAGTTCTTTGTTCATGTAATGAGAAAAGGAGCACTGGAAAATATTGTGACAACTGGAAAGATCATTGGTAGACGAGGCAGAGGCAGACCAAGAGAAATGATGGTGGATAGCTTAAGACAGTGGCATGGAGGAATATCATCAGTGGAACTGATCCAGAACACTAAAGACCGGGAGCTGTGGAGATGCATGAACGCCTACACCAGCTGGCAAGGCACTTGATGATGATGATCTATTTATCATGTTTCTTATGAGGCGCACAATTCTTAGCCTCACCAAAATCATTTTCGCCTTTATCCCTTTAGTCTTTCTGCTTTTTCCCTACCACACCACACAGTCCATGACATGCTGTTCCTATGACTCCATCTCAATACCTGTATCATTCTTGTCCTGCTTACACACATCCTTATTCTTTTCACTGTGATAGAAGCTAACCTCAGCATCTTTTACATATCTGTAATTCACAACAAAGGACATCTTTAGGTACTCTACCATTCTCTAATTGGTCCTAACCATCTGAGCCTTTGAAGACTGAATGAGCAGTGAGAAAACAGACAATGATGAATCAAGAATCAACATCACAGCATTCAGGACATTCCCATAAGCATTCCATCCCCATTTTCAGCAGCAAGTGCAGAGTTCCAATTCCAGTGGTACCAGTAACAGTGTGATTGTATATCCATTTTACTGATTCTATATCTATCTTGCCATTTCCTTGAATGCTGAGCCTTGGCCAGATTCCCTAGTCACTCCTTGCAGCACCATTCTCCTCAAACCATAATGATATATTTGTGATTCTGCACTGTTCATTTCCTCCAAAAAGACCCTTACAATGTCTAGCTGTAATGCATCAATGCACTACCAAGTGATTTAAAACCAGCCAATCAGCCTGTTTGTCTCCCACCTCACCAGCATACTAACTACCTAAGAAAACAATCAAAGATTTACCGGTTGCTGAAATAATAAGTGGCTACAATGAAAGGTATCTCCACCGCCTCCACCAGGAACATGTTCAGGTAGACATTTCCAGCAAGTTCTGAAATGCCCAGGATGATTCCATAGCCAACAAGAGAGGTGGTGAACCTAGTGAGCATACACAGAGAATACAGATTTATGATTATCATGTGTGAATTGTTTCAACTATGTCACTAAAGTGAATCCTTTTAGCTATGTCTCTAAGAATGAATCTTTCACGTATGGATCTTCCTTGCAATTATGAATCTAAAACTCATTATTTCAGCTATGACACTAAACCTCATCCATACATTTATGGATAAAACTCATTATTACAGAATAACATTCAAACTTATGCTTTCAATTATGGATTTAAAACTCATCCTTGCAATGATGAATCTAAAACTCATGCTTTCAACTATGTCATTAAAACTCATCCTTTTAACTGTTTCACTAAAACTCATGCTTTCAACTATGTCACTAAAACTCATACTTGCAATTATGAATTTAAAACTCATTCTTTCAGCTATGGCACTAAAACATACTCTTTCAGAATAACATTCAAACTCATCACTTCATCCACAGCACTAAAACTCATTCTTTCAGATATATCACTAAAATTCAGATTTGATCAATTAACAAATGAAGTGAACCTAGCCATGAATAAAGGAAGAGAATGAAAGTTTTAAAAGTGTATCAAGGCTTCAAACAATTATTATTAGGAGATTAAAAGAAAAGGAAATTTCAACAATTTTGAGAAACAAATCTCCATATTTCATTTCACTCTTTATTCTGTGTGTAATATGTAAGGTAATTAAATAATGTCATTAAAAGAAAATGTAATAGACGGGACTGAGTAAGTTCACATAACAAATAATACACTGTTAATTAAAGTAACTTGGATTAGACAAATTACAGAGGCAGAGACAGTTATGAAAATACATGGCCCTCGATTGATGGCTTTAAGTTCCATTACAGCTAACAGGTCATAATTCAAAATGGTCATAATTAGAATGTATATTTTTCAAAATTGTTTTCATTCAAACGGATTGTAAATAAATTTCAATCTATATATGTATATAACTTTCGTACATAATGTGAACAATACATTATGTACTCTACTGAATCAGTTCTTGAAAATTTGTGACTGTACCAATGTAGTTATCTTTCTTTACCTACTATTTTCAATTAATTTATTATGTGTGGTCATAAGTGCAGATAGTCTAAGTCCCACAAGTTGTAAGTCAAGGAGAAGCTGTATACTTAAATTTTCATCTATCGATTTTACAGTTCTGTAATATGTATATAATAGTAGTATGTCTGTTGTGTGTGTATCTGTGTAAGTGGTGAGTGTGACATGGTTAGTGTTTGTTGTAGTTAGTGTGTGGTGAATCTGTCATGGTGTGTGTTTGTTGTAGTTAGTGTGTGGTGAATGTGTCATGGTGTGTGTTTCTTGTAGTTAGTGTATGGTGAATGTGTCATGGTGTGTGTTTGTTGTAGTTAGTGTGTGGTGAATCTGTCATGTGTGTGTTTGTTGTAGTTAGTGTGTGGTGAATGTGTCATGGTGTGTGTTTGTTGTAGTTAGTGTGTGGTGAATGTGTCATGGTGTGTGTTTGTTGTAGTTAGTGTGTGGTGAATCTGTCATGTGTGTGTTTATTGTAGTTAGTGTGTGGGAAATGTGTCATGGTGTGTTTTTATTGTAGTTAGTGTGTGGTGAATGTGTCATGTTGTGTGTTTGTTGTAGTTAGTGTGTGGTGAATGTGTTATGGTGTGTGTTTGTTGTAATTAGTGTGTGGTGAATGTGTCATGGTGTGTGTCTGTTGTAGTTAGTGTGTGGTGAATCTGTCATGGTGTGTGTTTGTTGTAGTTAGTGTGTGGTGAATGTGTCATGCTGTGTGTTTGTTGTAGTTAGTGTGTGGTGAATCTGTCATGGTGTGTGTTTATTGTAGTTAGTGTGTGGTGAATGTGTCATGGTGTGTGTTTGTTGTAGTTAGTGTGTGGGGAATGTGTCATGGTGTGTTTTTATTGTAGTTAGTGTGTGGGGAATGTGTCATGGTGTGTGTTTATTGTAGTTAGTGTGTGGTGAATGTGTCATGGTGTGTGTTTGTTGTAGTTAGTGTGTGGGGAATGTGTCATGGTGTGTTTTTATTGTAGTTAGTGTGTGGTGAATGTGTCATGGTGTGTGTTTGTTGTAGTTAGTGTGTGGTGAATCTGTCATGGTGTGTGTTTGTTGTAGTTAGTGTGTGGTGAATGTGTCATGCTGTGTGTTTGTTGTAGTTAGTGTGTGGTGAATCTGTCATGGTGTGAGTTTATTGTAGTTAGTGTGTGGTGAATGTGTCATGGTGTGTGTTTGTTGTAGTTAGTGTGTGGGGAATGTGTCATGGTGTGTTTTTATTGTAGTTAGTGTGTGGGGAATGTGTCATGGTGTGTGTTTATTGTAGTTAGTGTGTGGTGAATGTGTCATGGTGTGTGTTTATTGTAGCTAGTGTGTGGTGAATCTGTCATGGTGTGTGTTTATTGTAGTTAGTGTGTGGTTGAAAGTGTATTTGTGGCTGAGTGTGTATATGGTCTGCGGTGTACACTATAACTAGATCAACACATCTAGATGCCTGGATTTATATTCTTCCACTATATATAAAATGGAACAATGGCCTACCATACAAACTGTAACGTCAGTGTGAGCCGAGCCATCTTCCAGCCTCTGTACACATCCAGATAAGAATACTTTTTACCCTTCTCCACCAGTTCTTTCTCTTTCTGGGCTATTTTCTGAGGATGTAATTGATCACTGATTATGGCATGACACAGAAGGATCAAATTTTGAAATCTTAGTTTTAAAGGGTAAAAGTGACTGACAGAGAAATGTGGGGGAGTGGGTCAATTCTTCTTCCCTCTGAAGAATGGGACCCAGGAACTCACATGCGGAGGATTGAGGAAATAAAGATATCAGGAGAAATCCTTAGATGAACATGGCTAAGAGAGACCAAAGTTGCCAGACTGGATTCCATCCATGACAGAACAGATTGCACAGGAGGGAATGGAATGTAGGATTGCGCTGTTGAGTCCTGTGTTACATTTAATGGCACGAAGATGTAAAAGAGCACACAAACATACACACAAACATACACAAAGAATTACCCCCCCAAAAAAACACATTTTCAAACACTTAACTCCTTCCTCCTCCCCTACCTCCCACCCCCCCCCCCCCCCCCCCCACTGAAAAAAAGAGAGTTGCTGTGGCAGAGCGGCTAGACACTCACTGCGAATCAGAAAGTCATGGGTTCGCTCCTAGGCAGAGCCGGACTTTTTTCAAAAATGATTTTGGCTTCCAGGTCGACCCAGCTTTGAGTGAGTACCAGGTGCAGTGCTAGGAAATAAAGGCGGCCGGCGTGATGCTGACTACATCACCCCTCTTGTGCCGATTGGTCCATAAAATATAGGTCTAGTCCTATATGCCTAAAGGCATTGAAAAGGGTCCTTTAATTATTTATTTTTTTTAACTTACCTGAGCAAAAATAAAATTGTGATGTTACCTGTATTTTCTTAAAACACTTGTCTGCGTTGTATTGCTTCTTGTTTATTCTGGCAATCTGTTCAATGACCTTGGCAGCATCTTCTACCCTGCCCTTGACAGTCAGCCATCTCATACTCTCTGGGAGAAAACTGAATGCAACAAAAACATCATCAAGACTCTTCAGTGAAAACTCATTTACAATTATACACTTACTAATAGGTTTATTGTCTGACACTCAAAGCTCATCAAAATTCTTCAATGAGAACTCATCTATCATTATACACTTACTAATATGTTTCTTGTCTGAAACTCAGAGTTTACCAAAACTCTTCAATGAGAACTAATCTATCATTATACACTTACTAATATGTTTCTTGTCTGACACTCAAAGCTCATCAAAACTCTTCAGTGAGAACTCATCTATAATTATACACTTACTATTTCTTATCTGAAACTCAAAGCAGCATTTTCTTTTTTTTTTTTTTGAAATACAGTAATGCAAGTGTTTTGTTGTATGTTTATTTAATTCAGCACTACTGGAAACTGTACCCTTCCTCCTCATTCTCTGTAGGCCACCATGACGTTTGAAGTGGCTAAAATACCTCCGCTTTCAGGGCAGGATGCTGTTTATGAGCCAATTCTCCTCATTGTCCAGACCATGCAGGATGTCGGAGTTTTTCTTCTTCCTGATTTTAAAGTAAGTAAAATGTAAAGGACCACATATGCCTTTACTTCCCAGAACTGTACTTAGTACCTACCCAAGGCTGGGTCGACCTGAGCGCCAAAGTCATTTCAGAAAAAAAAAATCTAGTTCCGTCCTGATTTTAGAAATGGTAAAATTGATCATCATGATCGTCATCAAGGGGAGGAGTAATTTTTAGTCTAGAGGTATGTACATAAGTAGGTGAATAGTTAGGCAGGTACTTAAGTAGGCAGGTAGGTATTATGTAAGTAGGTGAATAGTTAGGTAAGTACTTAAATAGGCAGGTAGGTATTATTTAAGTACATAAATAGTTAGGTGGGTACTTAAGTAGGTTTTTTAGGTAAGTAGATGAAGTTAGGTATGTACTTAAGTAGGCAGGTGGGTAGGTATGTAAGTAGGTATGTAAGTAGGTGAATAGTTAGGTAGGTATTAAGTAGGTGTGAATGTAAGTAAGTGAATAGTTAGGTATTTACTTAAGTAGGCAGGTAGGTAGGTATGTATGTAAGCAGGTGAGTAGCTAGGTAGGTACTTAAGCAGGTATGCTGGTAAGTAAAAAGGTGAGCAGATTTAGGTAGGTAAGTAAAAAGGAAAGCATATTAAGCAGACAAGTAGGTAGGAAGCGTGAACCTACATAGGTAGGTAAATGTAGATATTTTAGTATGTCAGTAAGAAGGTGCAAGAGTAGGAAGGTAGGCAGATAGAGAAGCTATCAGGCAAGCCTGCAGGTAGGGAGCTAGGCAGGCCTGCAGATAAGTAGTTAGGTAGGTAGACAAGAAGGCCAGCAGATAGACAAGTAAGCAATGCGTACTTACAAATATCCAATAAGGAATGGTGCACACAAAATGGCACAGATAAAATGCATCCATCTCCAGTCCGGCAACAGCCAAGCAGCCATTGGAAGTAAGGAGGCGCCTAGTGCAGCAAAGGGCAGAGAAGCAGGAATCACTCTCCATCTAGGGGACACAAACTCTAAGATGTACGGTACGTGTACAACTAGATAGGATCCGATGGCTCCTCCAATGAAGAATCTACACAGAATATACTCCGTTAATTATTCTGTACAATAATTACATGATATAGTATGCTTTCAGTACATGATACATGAAAGCAAATTAAAGTAAAAATCATGAAATCATACATCTTTCAAGTTGCAACTTAGAGATGTGCATCATGGACTCTCACTCAGTCTTTGAAGAAGAAAATAGGTAATCTTGCCGTCCTTTTAAGGACGAAATTTGTCGTTATTTGAAGCCCTACTCTGGCTCTTGCCAGGGGCCACAATATAGCCTGGCCATAAATATGGCCTAAAGGCTGAACGCGGTTTCTGGTACCTCTCCACGGTGATCCTCACCCACATGGTGGAACATTGTGTCATCGGGTGTTTATCGCATGTGTGATGTCCTGGTGGGGTAGAAAGTCAGTCAGTCAGTCAGAAAATAGGTCTATTGATTGCCCTTTGTGGGATGCAATTTTTAGTTATTTGAAGCCCCACCCCCTGGTCATGAATATAGCTAGGCCACATTTGTGGCCATAACAGTTGAAAGCAGTTTCTGGGACCTCTCCACGGGTGATCCTCACCCGCATGGTGGCATATTGTGTCACCGGGTGTTTATCGCTTGTGTGATGTCATGGTGGGTTGCAACAAGAGAAAGAAAGTGAAAATAGGTGCTTTTGACTTGAAATACTACAGAAACATTCTTAGAACACCGTGGACCAAGAAAGGGAAAAAACGTTGACATCCTGTATGACCATCAAGGAGAACTGACTGGTAAACAGCATCCTCTCCCAACAGCTGAGATATTTTGGACATTCCAAGAGCCATGGTGGTCTGGAGAGAACGGTGATGGAGTGCGCAGATTCTGGGGAAACGAGGCAGAGGCCGACCACCGTGAAAGTGGATACAGAACACTGAAGCTGAACTGGCTATGAAAGCAAACAAGGATGGATAACTGGGTAGAGACAGCGAGACTTTCAGGCGGGCCATGAAGAGAGTGATGTTCTCTAAAGGACATGCTGACAGACTGACACTTTTAACATGTAACAACTATTCTTCTTCTGCTTCTTCTTCACTTCCTCTTTTACCGCTGTGGGTGTCGAGGGAGATATAAGGTTCTGTCTCTAGCTCTTCTGGCCGCCTCGACCAGAGGCACATCGTGCTGTTGTGGAGTTTCTCTGATGTTATCCTTCCATGTTGTTCTTGGTCTACCTCATGCTCTATGTCCTTCTTCTCTTTCCATGTATGCTTTGTGTGTTATGGTGTAACAACTATACCTCTGTAAAAGTAAAACACCCTTTTCCTGCCTTTTGCCCATCCAGCATATGGTGCTAGTCAGACCTATATTTTTATAAACCATTTGGTACTTGGTGGTGTTGAATCCACATCACGCCGACCACCTTTACTTCCCAGGACATTACTTGCACCCATTTTAACTCTGCTCATATTTGGACATTTGAAAAAAGCGTTGCTACTACTACTCCTGCTGCTGCTACTACTGTTACTGCTACCAATACTGCTGTTACTAGGGCTGCTGCTGTGGATACTGCTGCTGCTGCTAATTTGACTGCTACTACTGCTGATGTTGCTGCTACTACAGCTGCTGCTACTACTTTTGCTGCTGCTGCTGCTGCTGCTAATATGATTACTATTACTGCTACTACTACAAGTGCTGTTGCTACTACCATTACCACCACCACTACTACTACTGCTGCTACTACTACAACTACTACTGATGCTGCTGCTGCTACTACTATTGCTGCTGATGCTGCTGCTACTACTACTGCTGCTGCTGGTACTGCTATTACTACTAACATCATCATTATCAACAAAAAACAAGTTACACAGAATCAACACATAACAATAACTAATTGATATATTAGACTATTAGACAGACATATGCCCCGTGGGTTTTGGGTCCCCATTGTGGGAAAAACAACAATAGACCCACTGCCTCTACGACAAGCATACAGTGTCTAATTGGGAGCTTCCATCGAAGTCAGCGTGCATCTGCCTGAGAAGCAAGAAACTAATGGTCTGCATACAAATATGTCAGATCTGTAAAAACAGATGTGCTTGCAACACTCATGTACTAAAGGAAGATCAAAGTCCAAAGGTGGACAAACAACCAGAATTTTCACAGCTAGTGAACGTGAAGAAGAAGTAGAAGACAGACATACTAAAAAGTATTTGTTATAACTGTATGAGACAGTGTACTTTTGTTACATTAAATCTTCGCATCTATGGCTTGTGCATTGGGAACCTTATTCATAAGTCCGAAATATCCATATTTGATTCCAGCTGTGGGCGATTTAGCTGCAGATTGCCATGCACTTTTTTCGACAATGGTATGAAAAGCCGACTATTTCAATAGCAATGGCAAACTGCTGAATGTAAAATTGCTTTTAGCACCAGAAACCAACAAATGTTGGGGTTGGGTTTTGCATTATCCTGTCAACATTTAACATAAGACAGGAGTTGGGTCAGATGGTAGGAGAGTGGGATATTTGGGTCAGATGTTAGGAAAGTGGGATATTTGGGTCAGATGGTAGGAGAGTGGGATATTTGGGTCAGATGGTAGGAGAGTGGGATATTTGGGTCAGATGGTAGGAGAGTGGGATATTTGGGTTAGATGGTAGGAGAGTGGGATATTTGGGTCAGATGGTAGGAGAGTGGGATATTTGGGTCAGATGGTAGGAGAGTGGGATATTTGGGTCAGATGTTAGGAAAGTGGGATATTTGGGTCAGATGGTAGGAGAGTGGGATATTTGGGTCAGATGGTAGGAGAGTGGGATATTTGGGTCAGATGGTAGGAGAGTGGGATATTTGGGTTAGATGGTAGGAGAGTGGGATATTTAGGTCAGATGGTAGGAGAGTGGGATATTTGGGTCAGATGGTAGGAGAGTGGGATATTTGGGTCAGATGTTAGGAAAGTGGGATATTTGGGTCAGATGGTAGGAGAGTGGGATATTTGGGTCAGATAGTAGGAGAGTGGGATATTTGGGTTAGATGGTAGGAGAGTGGGATATTTGGGTCAGATGGTAGGAGAGTGGGATATTTGGGTCAGATGGTAGGAGAGTGGGATATTTGGGTCAGATGGTAGGAGAGTGGGATATTTGGGTCAGATGTTAGGAGAGTGGGATATTTGGGTTAGATGGTAGGAGAGTGGGATATTTGGGTCAGATGGTAGGAGAGTGGGATATTTGGGTCAGATGGTAGGAGAGTGGGATATTTGGGTCAGATGTTAGGAAAGTGGGATATTTGGGTCAGATGGTAGGAGAGTGGGATATTTGGGTCAGATGGTAGGAGAGTGGAATATTTGGGTCAGATGGTAGGAGAGTGGGATATTTGGGTCAGATGGTAGGAGAGTGGGATATTTGGGTCAGATGGTAGGAGAGTGGGATATTTGGGTTAGATGGTAGGAGAGTGTGATATTTGGGTCTGTAGGTAGGGAGTGGGTATCTTCTCAGAAATCGGAGAGAAAAGGATGGAAGCAAACAAGCCACAAAAAACAGCAATGTTAAAACACTCTCGTGTGAACTCCCAGATAGGTACATGGGGATCGCAGTATCTGGGCAAATTGCACCTGGCTACGACAATAGAAAAGAAAGACAGACAAGCAGGTGCAGACATACTGACGGAAAGACAAGACAGAACGAAACGAACTTCATTTTCAAATGGTTACAAATTGACAGATAGACAGATAGACAGAAAGAAATAAGGATTAAGTATAAAAGAACAATCAGTCAGCAAAATGAAACATTTGCTGACGTCTGCTCCACAGACAACACATAATTCAGTTAGCAAAATGAAACATTAGCTGACGTCTGTTCCACAGACAACACATACCTGAACACAGCAAATAACTGCCAGGAGTTGGAAAAGCCGGCTCCCAGGTTCAGCAAAGCGTGGACCAGGATGGACAAGAAGTGAACCTTCTTTCGTCCGAAGACGTCCGACAGAAACCCGCTGACCAGTGCTCCGACCATGACACCGCCCATCTGGATGGCCGACAGCGATGACACTATCCACTGTTTTTCGCAAACCAGGTCCCACTGTTGGAAAGTTGTTTGGCAAGTGTCAGCGGCTGTTGTCACTAACCTACTCATTATTATTTGTTACTATTATTATTTATTATTTACTAGGTTGATAACCGACATCACAGCACTCAGGCACATTCACATAATCATTATGTCCCAGTCTTCAGCAGCTAGCGCAAAGTTCCACTGCTGATGGGGCTTAGGTATCTTGAATCACCCCCCCCCCTCCCCCACCTTTTCCTCATAAATGTGTTAGTTAATCCACCCATAATCTGTTACATCGAACACAGGACAAGTCCGTAAGCGCTCGGGTATTATCTTCAACATCTCCTTCTGTGTGTGGCGACTGATAATACCAGTTCTGCGTTGGTTTTCTGTTTTTCTGTGGCTACATAAATAGTGTTAATATCTGGTAACACTTTGATATGAATTTCTTGTAGTCTTGTCAATTTTGTCGATTAATCGTCCTCTTGAATGAACTACTCCTTCTGCCTCCTTAAAAGCGCTAAGAACATCGGCCCGGTCTATTGCTTTGTCTGTGCCTACACTGGTCCTACAAGCAAGCCAATCAGCCAGTTCCTTCCCTCTTACACCAGAGTGCCCTGGCATACAAATGAAACTAATTCCTGTCAGACGAGATTTACTCACAGACTTCAATCATTTTCTTCCAATCCATCCTGTCGCAATTGTCACCATGTCCATGGAATCAGAAAGTATGCATTTGGAAAAACCTTGTGTCTCTAGCCAGGTCATCGCTTTTGTTAGCGCCATCAACTCTAGAGTCAGACTATCTGTAGTCGAGGCAAAAGCTTCATTTTCTACAGTTCTCCCCCCACCCAGAACTGCTGAAGCGACGACTATACATGTTAATATAGACCTCGGCATGCGGACAGCCGTCCTGCGCTGACAGACTCAGTCATGTGGGATAGAACCCAGCGCGATACAGTAGACCTTCTTCCACTTTAACTGAGTCTCATCCATGATATCTCACTTCTCCTTTTTCTCCCTCATCTCTTTCTCTCTCTCACTCTCTCTCTCTCTCTCTCACACACACACACACACACCTCTGCTCCACCTCTTTGTCATCCTCAACGCTCTTTCTGTATCCCTTTCCGCCCCCTGTCTCTCTCGCAATGAAGCCAATTGTCATCATGATGTCATTGTATTTGTTCCCTTTTGTCAATAATGCTCATAACTGTTAGTGACTAACTTTTTGAATAACAGCAATGAACGAAAACACTCATGTTGTATGTGTCATGCACTTGTTATATAATGTTGGTGTCACGTGTGCAGTTATGATGGGACTTGTTGCATTCAGCCATGTCCAGCTCTAGTTGTAACATGTTGATCTGATCAGTTATACCACACACGTATGCAGTACAGAGAAGAGGCGCCAACACAAAGAAAACGTTTGTGGGGGATCCAGTTTACAAATGATCTAATGGTGGAGGGGAGCCCAAGTCTTGTCTAGCTGCCTAATAATAATAAGTAAAGTAAGTAAAAGACCCTTTTCCACGCCTTAGGGCGTTAAAGGCATTTAGGGCTAAACCTATATTTTACAGTTTAGTCGGCACTTGGTGGGTGATTTGGTTAACATCACACCGACCGCCTTTACTTACCAAGACTGCACCTGGTACTCGCGAATGGCTAGGTCGACCTGGGAGCCAAGGTAATTTTTTAAAAAAAGTCCGACTCCGTCGTCATGACCCGAACCCACAACCTTCTGATCCGCAGTCGAGCTCATTCAAAGTGTCCAACTCTCTCTGGACTGCAAGATGGCTTTGTGCTCATAAAAAAAGGGTGCCCCAGTGCAACTGGCATACGGCTGAACCGAGTTCTTGGGATAAGCTCCGGTTTGACTCTCATCCGTGAGGTGGTAATCCTACGGACAGTCATCCGAATGGGGAACAATGACCAATGACCTGTGAGTGGTGCACTGCGAGCGAACACGAACAAGTATGCTGTGAGGGTGCGTCGACAACTGAGTCCTACCGCTGGGACCAACAATCACTGCTTCGTTGACTGAATTGCTTCCACCCATCGATGTGTCAAGTACAGATACAAACGAATTGTAAACAACAAAGAAAAACTATATGGAGTGTTGAACACCCAGAAACTGGGCCACCAGGTTATAGGTCAGAGGGGTCGTGGCAAGTCTAGGTGGATGGACTCTCCTAGGTCAGATTTCCTGTACTTAACTTGCGACTGGTCTAGCAAAGCCGACAGGTCGGGAGTGGTGGGGGGGGGGGGGTATCCTGCTGCTCAGAGAAATAGAAGAACGTTATTCGGACTAATATAGATGGGATTGCGTGGCCAAAGTGGAAATCGAAAGGACACGCTGACCATTTGAACGATGGACAGTGGGGGATATAACAGAATCCATGAGAACCCTTGTATTCGAAACACACAGACTTGAACTTCTTTTTGTTCTTGTTGTTGTTCTTCATCATCTTCTTCTTCTTCTCCTTCTTCTTTTTCTTCTTCTTCCTTCTCCCCCCCCCCCCCCCACCCCACCCTTACCCTCGTTTCTTCTTTTTATTATTATTCCTTTTCTCTTCTTTTTTCTTATTGTTCGTCTTTTTTTCCCCCTTATTCTTATTCTGCTTCTTCGTTTACACTTAAAGTATAGTTAACACATTGCATTGTGGTTAACCGCTAGGCTGCCATATCAGCCCCATTCGGCTCATTATGTCCGATTCCGCAAACCCTAATTAGTCTTCTTTGAGGATCTGTTCCACACAAGCCTTCCCCCCCCCACCCCAACCTCCACCCACTCCCCCCACCCCCCCCCCCCCTCCCCCCCCCCCCCCCACGAGAATAAAGATGACCAAGCTGTGACGAAACGATGCGACGAGAACAAAGACTGTGCCTCCTTACCTCTGTGACGGCCGTAGAAGCATCATCGCTGGCCAGAAACACCTTCCTGGAACAAACTGTAGAGTTGAGGTCACAGTTTCCGTAAGTCGACTTATAAGACGGTCTGCTTCCGTTGGATGCAAATGAAAGGTACTGGGCGTTACAGTTCTTGTCCACCCGTATATCCTGAGGCACGCAACACCACTCGGGCTCGTATGCAGCATAAGACATCACTGTCATACTCCACTGCATCGGCAGCTTCGGCATCGCCAGGGTCAGAAGAGCAATCACCTGAAACACTCCCTCGTTTCCAATGTCTTTCAGAATATCCGCTAAATTCATGACTGTTGTTTGTGTATCAACGTAGACAGATCAAAACAAGTAACGATCGAGGTTTTTAGGTCACACTGTGTTTGTTTCGTTGGCGTGTAATTGGTTCAGAATTTAAAAACACTTGTTTAGAATGTCAGCTAACAACGATATAATAATGTCCAACTGCGACGGTTCGGTTAAATCATTTGATGTTCAGACAGAAATTATACCTGGAGAAAAAAAAACCGGGTGACTCAAATAAATACAAAGTTAATATCGTCGAAACAAGTACATGCAAAATACACATTCTTTAGAGGTGAGCTATCCAAAGCCCTGTGAACCGCCGTGGTGTAGTGGCTAGCTGCTCGCCTGCGGATCGGAAGGTCGTGGGTTCAAGTCCTGACGAAGCCGGGCTTTTATAAACAAATAATGACCTTAGCTCCCAGTTCGACCCAGCCTGAAATTTGTACCAGGGACAGTCCTGGGAAGTAAAGACGGCCGGCGTGATGTTGACCACGACATCCCCCGAGTGCCGACTGGTCTAAAAAAAATATAGGTTTAGCTGTGAAAAAGAAGCCTTTTTTATCTTAAGCGTTGTGAACACGCTTCGTTACTCTGTGGTGCCGGGTTCGATTCCAGCTGTGGGAAACTCGGCAGCAGATCGCCTTGCGTTGGCTTTAACAGTGGTATCGACAGCTGACCATTAAAAAAGAAATGGCAAACTTTTGAACGTAAAACTGCCTAGTGAAATCACAAAGAACAAAAAATGTTGGGGTTGGTTCTGCGACGTCCTTTAAAAAAGAGGACATGCAGCTAACATTATCCTAATACTAAGTATAACGTAAAATGTGACTGACTATAAAGCTCAACGGAGGGAGTGGAAAGGACACACACAGACACAATCGAACGTTTCGACCAAAGTCTTTGTCAACGGATTTCTAAATACAGCACAAACTGTGACCATAAATCTCAACACTTAGAGGTGAGTAAAATCCACTTATACGTAATACTCCATACTTTGGCAACTCTGCTTCTCGTTACATTTTATGGTACCCACTTCAGGCTAGGTCGACGCGAGAGCTAAAAAAAAAACCATTTCATAAAATGTCCCCTTGACTTACATCAGTGGCGAGGTGTGATCAATTCGCTTGTGTAAGCGTTAGCAGATAACGATTACGTTGAAGAGGGTTTCACGTGAAATTTTTCTCCCCATAGCTTCGCTGTTGACAGAGTATGCATGCACAGCTAGTACCTTAGTAATAGGAACTGTTAGCTTTCACACGTTGCAGTTTCTGTATGAGTGGCGTAATCATGCAGCGAGCATGTTTTTCCCGACGTTCGAGACGTTAACTGAGTGACGTATTGTAACAAATAATAGGCAGTAATAATAGTAAAATATTGCATTTTTCTTTGAAAATGGAAATGGCGAATATCGCCGTTGCAAGCACACATCGCCACTGATTTAGATTCAAATATAAGACGTTCGGGACGGCAGGCAAGCGTACAGCCACTGCGATTCTGTGTCTCCGTAAAAGACGTACAATAAAACATCTGTCTTACTAACACAGACTCTAACTTAGGCGTTGCGAACGCGCTTCCAAAGTCCATAGTGCTGAGTTCGATCCCAGCTGCAGGTGATTTGGCAAAAGGCGGCCTTGCTTTGGTTTTAACAGTGGTATTATCGACAGCCGACCGTTAAGTATGGCAAACTAAATATGAGACTTTATATTTGTTTACAGAACATCTGGAAGGAAGGCGAGGGGAAGACCAACAAAGAGAAGGACAAATTGTGTAGCCTAAACCTGCAAATCGATGAACACATCCACCAGCCTAACCATCCGAGAAGTGGAATACTAATACAGAAAACTACAACACAGGACTACAACCTGGTATCAGCGAGACGACAAAAGAAGAAGGCTCTGCAATGTACTGCAAAGCCTTTGTAAGAACACCCAACATACTAACATAATCCACGAAAGTTGCAGACACTACGTCTTCAAAGAGCTGCACACACTGTGAAACTTCTAAGCACTTTATTAACGCTTTCCAGCCTTCCGAAGAAACAAGTACGGAGTATCCAACCGTTATGAAACTCTAAGACATCTGACAAGTCATATGATCATAATGATCAACATCGCCAACTTAAAAGCCTTCAGCGGTAACTCGTTTTATTCCGTGCCTCCACCAGAGCACTCAAGGATGACACAGTTACACACACTTTACGGTCTGGTCTGGTATCGCGGTCTAGCCTTGACACTTTGCAGTGTAACGCCCTGACTAGGTCGAATCCGATGTGTCATTCAAACTATATCGTTGCGGTTTAATTTGGAAAATTTACGAGGGCATTAAAGTGTTGAACTTTAACGAATACAGTGGGTAGGGTACTAGAGAGATGTTTTCTAAACTTTGTAAGGGAAGAGTTCGTTCGGCTAAAATAACAAATAACACACTCTGGTTATCCATCACATCCCCATGCGGGATGCCGTTTTTGAAGCAGTACCCTGGCTGTTGCCGGGGCCCTAATATAACCTAACGGTAAAACGGGGTTGCCACAGATGATTCTCATTCGAATGGTAGCACTTTGTGTCAGCGGGTGTTTATCGCTCTGTGTACACGCGCACACACACACATTCACACCCATATATATATATATATATATATATATATATATATATATATATATAGAGAGAGAGAGAGAGAGAGAGAGAGAGAGAGAATATAGAATATATAGAATATAAAGAATATATAGAATATAAAGAATATATAGAACATAAAGAATATAAAGAATATATATAAAGAATATATAAAGAATATATAGAATATAAAGAATATATAGAATATATAGAATATATGAATGCCGAAGAAGAAGACATAGATGATCCTCCATGCTCTAATGTCAAACTGTCCAGCATCTTTTCTCTCGGTCTCCCTCTGCCTCTCCTTCCCTCCAACTTTCCCACTGTCCCGATGTGCTCCAGTTTTCTCCTTCTCGTCACATGATCAAAGAATGTAGTCTGCTCCTTTCTGATGTGGGCAGTCAGTTCTCTGCTTGAGTCGGTTTCTTTCAAAACATCCTCTTACTCTTGTTATCTGTCCACGGTATTCTCGTCATTCGTCTATAAAGCCACATCTCTGCAGCTTCCTAACAATGTTTCATTACTCTACCAACTGACCATGATTCACTTCCGTATATTAGGATAGGAATTACATAGCTTTTAAGAATTCTCTTTCCGAATCGATAAAGAATGATTGCATAAAATGTTCTTCCTTTTCTAAAATGCTTCCTTCGCTCGATCTATCTATCTATCTATCTATCTATCTATCTATCTATCTATCTATCTATCTATCTATCTATCTATCTATCTATCTATCTATCTATCTATCTATCTATCTATCTATCTATCTATCTATCTATCTATCTATCTATCTATCTATCTATCTATCTATCTATCTATCTATCTATCTATCTATCTAATCTATCTATCTATCTATCTATCTATCTATCTATCTATCTATCTATCTATCTATCTATCTATCTATCTATCTATCTATCAATCTATCAATCTATCTATCAATCTATCAATCTATCTATCAATCAATCTATCTATCTATCTATCTATCTATCTATCTATCTATCTATCTATCTATCTATCTATCTATCTATCTATCTATCTATCTATCTATCTATCTATCTATCTATCTATCTATCTATCTATCTATCTATCTATCTATCTATCTATCTATCTATCTGTCTGTCTGTCTGTCTGTCTGTCTGTCTGTCTGTCTGTCTGTCTGTCTGTAATTAACACCTGAGTGTGAGGGACGTTGCTCCCTGATCACGTGATGTGACCTGCTGGAGTTATTGTCTCACTGACCCAGTTACCGCAGACCTAATGGTGTCACTGTGGTGATACTGTTTACAAAACATTTTCCATAAGTGTTTTTCTTGGGGCACATCTAAATCCATATTTATCAGGGGTGGACTCTGCATATCGTGGCAAATGAGGCGAGTTCAACCGCCTGTGAAATATGTGTTTCTTTGTTTACTTTCGTTCCAAATTAATTAGTGGATCAGCGAGAGATATTTTTCTGTGTTGACAAACAATGGATAACACACACAAAAAAAGTGAACATGGTTTTTAGACTTTGCAAACGTGGAATGGTCTTGAGGTCATAGCCCTTTAACTCTTTGAGTCCCAGGGAGTTTAGCATCACAGGCCCAAGGGGTAGTCAAGAGAGACGTAAAATCGGCGCATCATGCGTTCATTGGGCCTCTAGGTAGGAATCTATGAACGTATGATGCGTTCCTTGGGACTCAAAGAGTTAAGTGCCTTTCTGGTATGTAAACTACCAACAATGTCCTTTCACTTACATACAGGAAAATTGGCTAGCAAGAGTGCAAGTACATTTTTTCTGCTCTACAAGGAATGTATAAATGTCTTATTTGTTTTATTTCTACGCCCCCATGTGGGTTCTGGGGCCCAATTGTAGGTATAACAAGAATAGACCAACTAACTGCCTGCCCAGCAAGCATGTTGTAACAGTCTGGGCTGCCACTGAGACTTTTTCAAAAAACCCAGCTAAGCTGAACAAAAACCCAAGCAATACATGGACAAAAAACAAACAAAAAAACCTAGACTGTTAAAAAGTACAAATTTTATATTTACGAAATAGAACATTTACCTACTTTTATATAAGGATTTTTTTTTTATTATTTGAAAACCTAGAATTCAAAATTTGAACCCAAGGCGTAAAATAAAAACCCAGATCTGGGGGTAAAAACCCATCATTGGTAACAGTCGACTACTAGGGGACTTCGAAACTGTATCTTCCGCTGGAACTTAAAACCGGCGAAGAAGAAGAAAAGAGAGCTACTCTGAAGTGTAGATGGGTCAATTGTATCATGTGGTGGAGATGTACCTGCGGTCTCCTACCACTTATATCCTGGAGTGTAGATGTATCTACAATCTCTTTCCACTGTTATGCTGTTGTGTAGAAGTATCTAAGGTCTCCTTACACGTATATCCTGA